CCGCCCCCAGCAGAGGACGGGGGGGCGGGTGTGTGAGTGTGTGTGTGCGCGGGGGGGGGCGGCCTTGCGTGTGGCCGGCGGGAGCAGCAGCGGCGCTGCAGCAGAGAGGCGAGGCGAGGGCCGGGTCACCTGGAAAAGGCGAGACGGGGAAGCTGCAGCGGGCTTAGGGGGAAGGGCGGCCAGCAGGCGTGCTCGGGGACTGAACTCCCGGGATGCCCTCTGCCCTGGAGGCGAGACGGGCGGGATTTGATCGGCAAGTAGGTCAATAGGATGGAGCTTGACAGCAGGTGACTAGGTCCTTGAGCATGTACAGAGTGTCTCTCTGTAACTCAAAGTAGCTATTTTTCTAGGGAAGAAATTACTGGTTGCTTTACTTAAATGTACTCGCTGCAAACCAATAAGTTTTTTCTTCTTCGAAGAATGCTTGCCTACTTTGAGTTACAGGGATGCACTCTGTATGTGCTCAGATACCTAGGTAATAGTTCCCTCACATCTTAAAACTTCTTCTGGAGCAGATTGCTCACCTCAGATGGGTGCAATCCAGCCCAAAGTTAAGCAGACGTAACTAGTAATGTGGTAAACCCGTACGCGGCTTTTCCATTTCAACTGGTCCTGTTCTTATTTCTTCAGAACTCAGCCATGGTGAATTGGGTGGCCTTCCTCCCCAGTGAGTGTGCCTAGCATTGCAGCTTTATAGCCTGATTCTATGCATGTTGACTTGGAAGTAAGCCCCATGGAGTTCAATGAAGCAGGCTCTAACACATAAACCAGCCAGATCTGTTTTGTGCCAAGCTGGGTAAATCTTCTGATTCAGGTCTAGAAATGCTCAAGTTGTTCAGAAAGTGAAGGACAGGGAAGGCTGCTTGTTGTATCATGGAAATGAGTCCCCCTCAGATGAAAGGGCCCTTCGTTCTTTGAACCCCCCTCAAAGTTTATCACCCAGTATTTTCCAACAGATTCATTTCCAGTTTCTCCTCCTGTGAGGTTGGGGTAGGGGAGGAGACTCTGGCCTGTTTCTTGTTAGTGATGGATGGGGGAAGAGGTTGGAGAATTTTTATGAAGCTGTCTGGGGTTTTTTGGCTGATTCCTCTTGATGTCTAAATCTCCTTGAGTTATCCCGAATAGCCAGGGTCTTCCTCTCAGAGTTTTGTTACTGGGGAACCAAGCTTTAGACCACACCCCTTTTCCTTGGCCTTATGCTGCAAACCTCATTGCTGCGGGCATGCTCACCATGGATCAATCCCCTTCTCCAAATTTTTCCATCCTCCTGGCATGCTGGCTCTCTGTGGAAGGTGGAATGAAGGAGACTACAGTAGTTCTCTGGTGACTTTCCCTGCACTGCCAGCTTCCTCTTAATACTCTCTTTATTGCTTTTGCTACAAGTTTAATTCTTGCCAGAAACTGAAGGTTTCAAATGATGAAGTGCTTCACTAGATTAAATCTCTGTAATTATCACTGGTGTGAACATTTAATGAAGCAGGAGTGACATGTAGCTTTAGAAACGGGAGCAAATCCTTGGGGGGGGAGGGGGTTGGATAGATTTCGTTTACTGCAGTTCTGAAATGACACTGCACTGATCCTAAACTCTTCTTGGTGTCTGTGGGTTGAGGTTTTGTAAGGAGGTGTCTCTGGCCAGCTTTCCTATAGGTCTAGTTTTGCCATCTGCATTTCACTGGATCTACCTGGGGGGTGTGCGTGTGTGCACATGCATTTTTATATTTGTAAGAGAGATCTGAGGCTTTTGAATGGAAAACTGGCGGAAAGTGGAACATACCATCAAGATCCATTGAGCAGTTTAAGAGGAATGCAATATCTAGTGAAGTTAGTAGTCAGTCTCTGCATGAATGTAGTAATGCAGGCTAAGGACCCAGCAGTTTTCTGGCCACCTTGAAGGCTGCTTGAAGCTAGTTATACTGTGTCATGTCACTGCTGTTTACTTGGAAGTGATAGTGATTAGTTGTGGCCACTGGATAAAAGCTGCTGTCGGCATAGTTTGAGGTTAGGCAACTACTTAAACTCCATTTTGTTAAAATATTTGATTTATTTCTGAAAGTTTTGTAACAGAAACATAGAGCTGGAAGCGACCTCAAAGGTCATCTAGTCCAACCCCTTGCACAATGCAGGAAATTCACAACTAGCTCCCCCCCACTCTCCCGGTGACCCCTGCTCTATGCCCAGACATTTTCATTTTAATTTAGGATTGCAGATTTACAGGTTGAAGGAGTAGTGATTTGATTGCTCATTAAATCTCCAAGGGGAGTCAGTTAGGGTTATGTGTTGCAAGTGAAAAATTCAAGCATCTGTATATATGTGCGTGTTAACACTCGGGAAAGCCTTGGTCCATTTCCCTCCTGACTGCACTGTGTCTTCTTGTCATCCCAGTGAAGTGACAATTCTTAAGGACACTTAAGGTGGAAGTCCTGCCCCATATTTAGTGCATTATGGGTCTCTCTCTCACTATTCTTTGTCTTGATTTGATAGCACAAGGAATCAGTGACCATTCATCTTTAGTTCAGGTTACACATGTAACTGCTTTACATGGAGTCATACCATTGGTTTATTAAGGTCCATGTAAGCAATACTCATGTTTACTGTGACTGGCAGTGGCTAGATCTTCGGGGTCTTGGGTGAAAGTCTTCCACATCCTTTCCTATCTGATCTTTTTAACTGGAGATGCTGGGGACTGATTTACAACATTTAAATAGGGCTTTCCACCCATCTTAGAGTCCCCAAAGCAACAAACAATGATATGTGTAACAATTAAAAACACACAAACAGGAAGGAGGGTTGGTGAGGGAATGCCAAACACAACAGAAAAATCTTCACCTGTTGACAGAAGACAATGATAAATATCAACAAATGAGTCTCCCGGGGAGGGAATTACATTGTTTTCAAGCCAAATATATGCTTTACCCCTAAGCCACAGTTCCCTCCCAAGTTGATTTGGGTACCTGTAGCTTCTTAAGAATATGGGAAAGGTACTCAACACCTGTCCAAACTCTCCTCTATAGCAAGGGATTTTATGGTCTTGCTTTTCATTACAAATGGATGCAGAATATTGAATTTTGCCTTGGTCCTGTGTATGCTTACTGTAATAATTTCAGTGGGATTTACTCCTAGGTAATCATTTATAGGCCAAAACTGAGTGCTGTTGTGGTGTGGTGGTTAGAGAGTCAGACCATGATGGGGAGATTCATGTTCAAATCCTCACAGAGTGACCTTGGGCTAGTCACTTTCACAGCCTGATCTACCTCACAGGGTTTTTGTGGGGATTAACTGTGAACTTCTTGGAAGAAAGACAGAATAAAAACCTAATGATTAAAATCACATTACACTGAAGATGTCATTAGTTATTGTAAAAATAAATAAAAAATAAAGATACATTGTTGCTTTGTAGTGTATGTATAACTTGGTTTAAACTGTTTTCATAGACCACTAATGGAATTTTGTTGTTGACATTGATCATATACAGGTTTAAAATTGTCTCAGGTACATTTCTGATACATTCTTTCCAGAATGTTCTATTTCTTTTTTCTGTAATATTGACTGCTGTGAGGAGATTAAATTGTGGGCTGAAACACACTGTGGTTTGGATCTGCTAGTACCAGGATGGAGCAACCTTTTCTGATTCTCCTCCACATTGTGGCCTTGTTCATCAAGATCTTTTGTCCATACTGGCCCCACAGTTACCAACAGAACCTTTTTCAGGGCATTCTCCTTAATGGCATCAGTGGAAAAGCTTGTAGGGTCTAACCTTAGAAGACCTCACAGGTTTTTGTAGGGACAGCAGCAGGACTCAATACAGGGATGCAGTTTTCAATAGCATCAGCACTATGTTAGCCACTACTTGTATTTTGCTATTCTTTAGGATGGATTCCTTTCTTGCATGGTGACGTTTTCTATAATTGCCTTAAGTTTTCAGGTTTACCATTCTTTTATGTATTTTTGGTGCAATTAATCACCTTAACATATTTTGTTCTGCTAGCTGTGCAAATATTTGCTTGAGCTGATGCCTTGGAACAAATGCTCTATCCCTCTTTTATTTTTAAAGGAAGTTCCTTGAGAAGTGGGCAAAATAAATATTACCTTTCATAGCTGTTTGACCTTCATTGATTGAGCGCCAAGATTTTTTAGTGTCACTCTGCGTACATCCAATATTTCAAGGTCTGCTGGCTGTGTACCATCTGTCATACACCAGTGGAATCCAGTGTCCCCTGACCTCCTAACTTTTAACAAGAAGCAGTTCTTTTGCATTATGAGTAAGAAATCTGTAGGCGACTCACAGATTTTTACTATACTTGTTACTTCATTACGCAGTAAAGATTTTTGCCTTAGAGACCAACCGCTGTTCTCCTTGTTACATCAGCCAGATGAATTGAGGCCTGTTGAGCTTTGACAGGCTGTCCGCCCCTTTCTGTACAGGCGCACAAAGCAAAGGTTATTACTTGCTGCCAGACACTGTTTTTGCTCAAAAGATAACTTAGCATGTTCACCCAGTTTCAGATGCCAAAATCCTCTAAAATCTTTGTTCCTAATCCTTGACTTTGTCTTGTCCGTTTATACATGACATCTGATTTTTGAAGGATTCGTTTTAAGAGTAAATGCCTTCCTGTTGAAAGTCTACTGACTATTTTCTTTTCCTTGAGACTAATGTTTCTTTCTGGCTACATGGGTATATTTTTGTCCTGGGTCTTAAGCAAATACTACTGCTAATGGCTATTTAGTGGGTTGTTTTTTTTTGGGGGGGGGAACTCTTAGGCCTTAGTCTGAAGCATGCTTACTGAGCGGTAAATCCAATTAAAATCAGTGAGACCTATTTGAGAGACTGTGGTTTCAGGATTATAT